ACCGCCTGCTGGCGAAAGAGAGGCCAGTATCATTAGGCCATGCACAAACCCTCTGCAGGTATCAAAAATTCAGGGCGTTCTGTGTCGTGTTGGCCGCACAACAGAGCCGATAACGTCAACCCTGCCACATTGATCTGCTGACGTTCTTTCCTTTGGGCCGAAAAGAGCCGTTTTTGTGCCTGCTGCATGTGTGACCAGTCAAAACTGCAGCGAGTGGCGTGTGATCATATGCGTACCCTCTGCTCGCGTCCCAGAAACACATCGTATTGTCCAGTTTTGAATGCACACAGGCTATAAACGTGAACCGAAGTGCGTTGCGGTGTTGACTTCTTTTACTGTTTTCTTGTTCCGCCGCGTGTTTGCTCCGTGTGTCACCCGCTACCAGTCCACAACACATGCCAGAGAGAGGCTTTCGGCCGATGACATCCACAAACTACTGCCAATGGAGTGTGATCATACACAATCGCTCTGCTCGCGTCCCAGAAGCAGAGCGTATTGTCCAGTTTTGATTGCACACGACCTGTAACGTGAACCGAAGTGTGTTGCGATGTTGACTTTTTTTAACGCTGCCTTTTTTTTTCTGGTTGCTCCGAGCGTGATCAATCCACGACGCATGCCCGAGAGAGGCCCGAGAGAGGCCTTTGGCCGACGACATCCACAAACTGCAGTCACTGGCGTGCGATTATATATATGCCCTCTGGAGGCGACCCCAAAACAGGGCATTTGGTGTCTTGTTGGTCGCACAAGAGCCAAAACCGTGAACTGAAGCATGTTGTGACCCACAAAGACTTGAATCGGCCCTTTTTTCCCCCTGAGAAAAAAATCTGTCTCGAGGAACCGTAAGACGGTCGTATGGATCCAGATAATTTTTCCCTTGCAGACCACCCCCCCCCCCACCGAGGGAAAAAAAAAATCTCCCAAGTAATCACGACGTAAGACTCGGCCTCAACTTTGGAAAGAAGAAAAAAGATTAAATTGTTGTAACAAACAAGTTGTAACAAATGCAAGTCGTGTATCCATCCTCTCAAATCTATCCCCCACCATATTTTGGTGCTGTTAGAAACTACTAAATTCATTTCTGCTCAAAGAAGGTACAACGGGCTTTTCGGATTTACTGCATTAGGCGCAGGTGGTATTCAAAAAAGACATGGACTGAACCGCCAGCCCCTTCAATGCTCACCTTGCATGGACGTGCTCACCACCGCATAGTCGGCCTCCAACAACATTTTGAGAACTATTCCGTGTCGAACAACTCGAGGTTTTACACATACGATTCTGAATTCACACAGAATACTTCATCCCTTAAATTAGACGCAAACATCGCGACAACTTTACGAACGCATGTGCACAACAACATTCCGTGGGCACAACAATACCGATCTACTGTAGATAACATTATTATAATCAACCTAACGCCCACCACGCTGAATCCGCAGACCCCTTGTACATTGAGTTCGCTGAAGTAAGCCGAACAAACGACGGACCCGTTGTAGGTGAAATATTTTCAGCACCGGAAATTGCAGCTTTAGTCTTCACATCAGGTCAGGAAAACAGCGGATCACGTGCTGTAGTAACTTATCCACGTGACAGTCCGGACGACAAGCCTAGGTTCCTGCCCCTGTGGAGTGCAGCGTACGAAACTCTTCAGTTTCCGATGCTAATGCTCCACGGCTACGTGCTTACCGGCGCAAGAATAAAGAGGCGACCGTAGCTTACATCTCTTTTTCGTCCGCACCCGGCGAAGCTTGAAAAAAAAATCACGTACGCGCGACTCTCTTGGCTTCATGTTACACCGGGAACGGCACATTTCTCAAATACAACGCGAACATCTTCACACCGTCCATTCGATCACCCTGCGGCTTCATGCCCTTGGTATGCTGTGCACAGCCTTCACACCTTCCCTTTGAGCCTGCTACTGAGGACGAGGGCGCCTCTGCGCCCGAAGTCCGGAGCCCTTGTATACACAACATGATTTCCCAGCCGAAATCCCCCAGACGACAGCGTAGCCCCATCTATCTCTTCAGTAGCTCACCTGGTTGTCATGCTTCTTTTGACGAACCTGACGGTAGGTGCGGGTGTCTGTTGTGCTGTACCTGTAGTGATAATGGAAAGCTTTCCCGAATCCTGCTGTAACAGCAGTGTACCTACATGAGTAGGTCTGCATTCTCGCTGTTCTGCTCCGGGTATCGTGAGCTCGTCCGGTCAGTAACTCCCATTCTTGACGGCCGACGGCGAACCGCTCGTGCACTGAAGCTACATGTAGGCTGTGGTCGTGCTCGATTTCCTCGCCCTCTGTATGAAATAATGATGCCTTCGTTTTCTCATGTGACCTCGTCATTCTCGTTAGAATATTTGATATCCACATAATATTTCCTGTCTGCCATACGTTAATGTCAGTGTGTTCTAAAAGTTATTGGTGTTCTTCTAGAGCGCATGAACGCTCATATTTCTCGAGATCCAAACCTTGCCCACAGCCGGCGTACATTTTTACCGGACCCCATGCGCATAGGAGTATCTGTTAATAACTCAACCTACGTCCAATCTCAAACAGGTCGGACTTTCCTTCGAGGCCACGATGACCGTGTGTGTCTGCTTATTTACCCTGCCAATAACAGGTTTGGGGCGCACCTCTGCTACTCCAGGCAAATGGCCTTGCTGAGTTTGTCTCCCCGAAAGCGTTTTCATATTAACAAGTACTTCGTACACCCCGACCCAATATTAGTAACACTCCCGACAAGAAAACAACAAACCACGAAAAACGGAAAACAGAAAAGACTAAACGGGACGAGAGCGTTCAACCCCACCACTTGAGATCGGCCCTCCCTCATCGTTCTTACATACCTCTACCACAACATTAGGGGAAAACATGGAAACTGGACTCTACACATGCACCCAGCAGCGACATTACTGTTGCCGAGCTACCTAACGGCGCCAAAAGCACCACTGTTTCAGCCCCCTCTCTCTCTCGCACACCAACACAAGCCGATACAGACACACGTGAAGCCGCACGACGCATCGAGCGAGGGCGAAGGAGCGACTACACACGTCAACAATAGTATATCTCCTCCTCGTCCGTCCAGCACAGAGCCTCTTGGGTGGTACGCAAAATGTCGTTGGTGCACCAATCGAGCATGTCGTCCGCGAACGCCGAGACCGCAGCCCTCTCCCACTTGGTAAGCCTGGCGATCTTCTCCCTCTGCACGATGTCCACGTCCACCGTGTTCGATTCCTTTGGGGGGGGAAGTGACGGTTGGAGGGGATAGAGGGGTCAACATACAGCGGGAGGAGAGACCAAAGTATTTCGAGCTGCGGCCGGCCGTTGTGATGCCGCAAGAATACATATAAGCCACCTGCTGCGCACAATCGATGCCTTGATCTTTGTGCCGCCCTGCTGGAGTGCATCTCCCTTTCCACAAACGGCGAGAAAGGTGGATGACACGCCTGCCAAAGTTCGGAACACGGCGCAACGTATGGAGGTTGTGTCTAACCCTGCGCAACGGTCGGGAGCGCCCCACGCACGAAGCAACAAATCACCCCAAACGGAAATTATCCCACCCACCAACTCACCTTGTGCAGTATCACGCAAAAGAGCAGCGAGGCTGCCTGCGGGAGCGAGCCAGACTCGCGCGACAGTTCATCTGCGATAACGTTCGATGATCCTACCCACGGCCCCACTCCACGCGTGTCCTCCTTGACGGCACCATCACCGCCGCCACGGCCGCCGCCGCTGCCGCTGCCACCTTCTCCCCCACCATTCCCGCCGCCACCACCACTGACATTGTGATCCCCCGCCTCCTCCACGCCACTCTCACGCGCAGGGAGCATCGGAAGAGCTAGCAACACGCACCGCGTTCGAGTTGAGGATTTCGGGATGGCGCCTTCGCCACCAATAGCGCCTTCTTCTTCTTCCACCGCTGCAGAAGCCGCATTGAATGCACAACCAGAAGGAGCCGCTGTTGGTGCCAACACTCCATCCCAGTCTTCGAACACGATGGTGCGCAAGGCAGGCGAATCCGCTAGATGTTGGAACCACCCGCCCCAGTCTACGCCGTGCCGTGGGTCGATGATTCCGCGGAGGGTAGGCAGAGCGACGCCGAGCGGGGTTACCACCGAAACCTCCAGGAGATCTCGCAGGTTCAGCTCGCTCACGGGAGGCAGGAAGCTACCTTCATCGAGCCCTACGTTCTCGTAGCCGCTCAGGCTGAAACCGGTCCCGATGCTCGTGAAGGAAAGCGCCGGCGAGGGCGCGCGAAGGAACGGGGTCTCACGGTGCCTGCTACTTGCACCTGCTGCGACCTGGGGCGGGGGCGAGAGCCAGGCGAGCGGCGGGTGCCATGAGTGCGGCAGAGGCGGTACCGCTTGAGGCGTCGGGCTCGAAATGCGTTCCTCACGCCTTGAGGGGAGAACCATCGCGTTCTTGTACAGAGGCCAACACGGGTTGTCTTGGTTGAAGAGCTCCCATGCGGTGTCCTTCCTTCTTTTAGCTATCGCCAGGCGCAGCAGCCTTTCGACCAGCTGGCTTGCTTGCTGAGCAATATCCTCCGGGAAAGGACCGTCGTTCCACCAGTCGCGCCCGCTGACACTCGTCGCGGCGGTGCCTCTGCCCTCCCACGAGCGGCAGGACATGGGTCGGGCGCCCTCGACCACGAAAAGTACAACGTCGAGGCTTCCGTCGACCGCCGCTGCGGTCCTGTCATCGCCGTTGCCGCTGGACTTTGCACGCCTTGTCGCCCCCTTGTCGTGGTCCTCCAGCGTCGTCAACACGAACGTGCACACAGGAAACGTCTGAGGCTTCGTCCTTTTAGCACCCGCCGCCGTCTCACGCATCCCACCTTCGTCTCCCCTCTCGGCGGAGTTGTCAACCACGGCGCGGCCATCGTCTCCGTAGATTCCGGTAGAAGTTGACGAGGACCCCATCACCAATTCCCTAGCCATGACAGTGCCGGACAGGATCGGCCTTGTCGCGGGCTGCAGCGTCGGCTGCGAGGTCAACCCGTACAGCTCCGCGTTGCGATACAGGTGCCACATGAACCTATTCGTCTCCGCGTCGACCTCTGCTTCCGTATCGTCTTCCTCCTCTCCCCCACCATGGCCGCCGCCGGTACCGCCGATACCGCCGGCTCCGTCACCGCTAAGCATGCTAGAGCTCTCCCGACCTCCTAGCGGCGCCGGTGCGATCGGACTCCGAGAATCCGACGGGTGCAGGTGTCCGCGTTCGTGGCCATGGCCCTGGTCGTATTCTTGGGGATGCTGTTGAGGCTGCTCCTGAGGGCGTGACCCATCAAGGTACGGCGACTCCCGATGCTGCCTGCGTGGAATGGGCGCGCGAATGGGAGTGGCCTTTGACCCCGCGGAGGTTGGCGTGGCCGCATCGTTCCCCCGCACCGGTGTGGTTGCGTCTTCCCCACTCCGCAACGCCAAGGCTGGTGCCACCACGACCGGTCCGGGCGATGCCGGGGCGGAGCGCGCCGCAGAGGGTCGCCGCGGGGAAGGAGACGCTTCAGAGAGCAGAGGCCCCCGTTCGGCATCCAACTCGATCGATATTACCTCCCGAGTGACAGCGGGCGGATCGTCGTTGTCGCAGGGCCTGCTACCTTCGAAGTACGCAGCATCGTTTTCGGCGGCCATGCGGGAAAGGATGCCGTGCGCGTTGAGGGCGAAAAGGATTCGGAGCTGCTCCTTCGGAGGCGCGTCCGCTGCTGTCTTCAAGTCCGTAGCAGCTGACGACAGCAACGCGGCTTCCACCTGCCCAATGCAAGATATCCGATCGGGGGTTCGTAACGAAAGTAGGGGAAGGCATGACACGTGGTAGAATATCTGTTGCACCGTGATTGTGCAGGAGCAGCAACGAAGGGCACTCTTTAGTAAAATAGGTACAATATAGGCAACCCAACACAAACACCTCTTCGGAGCGTTCCGAGCGGGCACTGCATCAACAGGGCCCTGCCCAAGAAATGATGGCATACTGCCGAGAGCTGTAGTGATCACTGGGAAACACAAAAAATAACCGAATCGAGGTGACTACCACACAAAACCCACAACCGGAAAGGAGTTAAATTGGTACCTAGACACAAGACAGCGTTCGACCCAAGATAAGCTCACGCACAGCAAATGGGGATCCACTCCGCTCTGACGTGACGTACCTGGCCGACCGAGAAGTCTTCCACGGCGTTGCGGAGGCGCAGTTTATGGATAACGCGGTACATTTCATGGGGGAGCTCGTCGGGCAACTCCGTCCCGTGGAATGTTGGGTTGTTGGGGTCCAGATTCCACTTAAAGCTCGAGAGCGTAGGAAGGTTGGCCCACCAAGACTGCGATGCACCCTGGCCCTCGACGCTACCGCCAATGGGGCCATCGCCCTCCCAACCGCCGGGTGGCTCCATGACGTCCAGAGTCCAAAACTTGACGGAGGCCTGCATGGGCTGCCGCGGCCCTCCGGCCGCGGCAGCTGTGCTCGTGCGAGGAGCAACCATAACACTCACCTCCACTAGGGCGACGGTGTTGGTCAGTTCAAGGGGCAGCCGCAGAAGCGCGTGGGCCAACAGCACACCGCCGCTACCAAGCGTAGCCGGGCTGCAAAGTTGGCCGTTTACCGGGGCCCCACGGACACCCTTTGGGGCCTTCCCCGAGCCTGTCGCACCGACGGTGAGCCCCGAGGCAAAAGTCACTGGGTGCCCAGCGAACACGGGACGCGTCATGCATTTCACATCCGTGTCCGTGTTGACATTGTCCGCAGAGACGATGGTGGCTTCCTCCGTCACCGGCGTAAAACCGAGGGACTCAACGAGATACGAGGAGTACGCGAGGACAAACTGGCGGGCGAGTGTTGCGCCTCGTTCGGCTTCCACATCGTCCCGCCCACTGCTGTCGACGGCCACGTGCTCTCCCGTTCCCGGCGTCGACGCTATTGCTGGTTCGGGCGTGGCAGCAGCTTCCAGCACAGGCTTATCTACGGCGGAGGACTTCCTTCGAAAGGAGGAGGGCGCGGGTCCACCAGTGTCTCCGCCCGTGGAACCTCCGTCACACCCTAACCCAATTCCGGCAAGAGATACGCTCCGAGTTTGACGTAGCTCTGCCGCTCCTGCGCCGTCAGTTTCCCCGTCCCGAGCAACGGTCCCGCCACTACCGAGCCCCCTCAAGAAGCTTCCCCTATGCATAGCAGGCTGCGTCCCCAGCGTCGGTGTCGCCGCGATGGCCCACCTCTCATCCGACCCGACGGCACTGTCAGTACTCTCGCGTCCAAGGCCCGAGCTGGTAGCGCTCCGGCTGCGCAGGAGGTCAAAATCCTCCTCTTCCGAAGACTGCCTCAGCTGCCTGTCTCCCGACAGCTCACGGACGCTGGCTTCTCCGGCAACGCTGCCGGTGTGTTGAGGCACACCAAGCGAGTTGTAGCTGCTCGCCCCCCATTCCGTCTCGCTGACATTCCCGAGGAAGATAGATCCTGTCCCGGAGTTTCCCCTCGCAGAACCGGGCTGCCCTTCTCCACTGGTGTAGTCTCGTCCAACAGGGCGGGAATCCATTCGGTCAAGAGCTGCTTCTGCTTCTGCCTGGCCCCCGTCGTGATCACGTGTGGCCGAAGCCTTCACCGCAAAGCCGCTGAGGGTGGACGATGCCATCGGCAAGAGGAGCGGGCTTGTGGAAATCCGGTGGAGACGGCACTGGCTCCAGATATCGCGCGCCCAGTCCACGGACCGCGGCGCTTCTACCTCTCTATCTGCTGGGACAAACACCTCCTTGCTCTCCACCTGTTGCACCTGGCGCACATCTGGGACCCCGTTATCCGCCGCAGTCGCCGCCGTAATGGAATCCCCGGCTGCCTCCGTTTTGATGTTCTGACCGACGGACGCCGATCCCTTGGGCCGAAGATCCCTTGCCTCCACCGCTGGTGTACTTCTTCGGACGGGGTCACCCATTCCTCGGGGTGGCCGTATCGTGCGAGTCATTTGAGACCCTCGGTCTTGGCCGCTAATTAGACGGTCGCGCCCCTTGTCGAGTTGCTGCTGCGGCGACTCGCCATCAGTTCGTTCTCCTGGTGCGCTGGAAGGTTGCCTCCTCGGCCACATCCACGCGGAGCTCCTTCTGAAAGCGGAGCTCCCAGAGCCTAAGCCACGTCTCCCCGGGCTTACCTCACCTCCTCCTGGCCTTTGCACCGAACGCTGGGCCGAGAGGGAAATTGGCGCCGCCGGCGTTTGTCCTTGATGTGCAAGGTGCTCCAGTGGCTCGGTTTTTATCTTCAAAGCCGCCGCCGCCGCCGCCGCCGCTGTCCTTGCCGCCTCCTGATCAGCGGTTACCCTTTCTGCCTCCTCCCTCGCTCGTCTTGATTTCCTCTCTTCATTCGCGCGATCTTCGGCGGCCTTGTTGCAACGCCGCTGTTTCTCGTAGCCCCAAGACCACGTCCGAGTCGCCTTCCAGCGACGGTGCAGGGTCGCCTTGTGCTTGTCGTCGATGCCCAAGAGGCATACCCGGTTGAGGAACGTGGCCTGGAGGGGGTTGGCTGGGCGTGTTTCCCCTGCCGCGGGAGTACTGCGGCCTCCTCCACCTCGAACATAGCCCACGCGTGTCGTGCCACCGGAAGGGTGGGGGCTCACACTGGGCGAACTAGAGCGCAGAGTTGTTGTTGCCCCGATGGCCATGCTTCCGCCGCCGTCTAGGCCGCCACCTCCATCGCCGCGTAGGGCAGCATTCAGTTGTGCGACCCCGCGACTGCAGGACGTCCCCGCGTTGGCAGCTTGGGCGTACTCTGTCCAGGCATACTTCGACACATCTCTGACCCGCAACACGAAAGCGCGGGCCTCTTCCTCCAGCTGGTCCGCGGTCTTCCCGGTCGGCGCCTTCAACACAGCCGCAAGCCGCCGGGGGGGGGGGGGGGGGGGGGGGGGGGGGGTTTGTTCTTTTTTTTTTGATTGT